AACTTTTGGGCGTGAAAGCAATGGGCTTGCGTGAATTACTGGCAAGAAAAATTGAGGATCAGAGTTCAATAGGCCATTACAAACTGATGTANCTTACATTGAACGACTAAGATTTTACCAAGTGATAATCATCTAGGCTATTCCATACAAATATCTAAGATATTTATAAGTACAACAATACTAAAAACTGTCTCTTTGTTTCTCTAGTGTTCTCTAGAATGTTGACTTAGAGTTCTCTGAACCCCAGCCCACTCTAGGGCTCTCTAAATTCTTTTAGAAAGCAGGGCTGTGATAGGTGTGATTAAGATGATTTTTCCTAAATTTTATTAAAAGCTAAAGCATCCAAAAAGATGCCTACCCTAACCCTTGACAATGACAATACAAAAGTGTAACATTTTTAGCTTTAAGAGCGATGATAGAGATACTCTTAATATATTAATCCAATGACTACACTATATGTTTGTAATTCTATCCCGATCGATTGTTACATTTGGCCAAACAAATACGAGAGCACCAAATGGATCTTCTGTTTTTTTTTTTTTAATACAGATGGAGCTTCTAATTTTCCTTTGGAAGGATTAAATAAATAAATAATAGCATAAGGAAAAATATTAGCTAGAAAAAGTAAACATTTGGGGCCTCCCTCCCGCACTGAGTCATATATCACATATGCTATTCTCGAGTAAGGACTTATACAAGCAAATATATAAGGTCACATTTTGTAATCTTGCTCGGCACGACACAACACAAATTCCACTTTTTTTAAAAGACTTGGGTTCACATATTTTAAAAATATGCTATTTTTACAACTGCGTACCATCAATGTTGCAATCGAGTATCCGTCCATGCTCAACAAGAAATTAAGGAAACAAATAATGGGTAGCTAGCGTGGAGGTGAGAGTGTTTTACAATTTGATTTGAGCTCATTTTAACTACTTCACCTGCCCAACTAACCCGAGCCCTTAACTCCGCCGCATGAGGAATGTTCAAGTTCAGATAGATGGGCAAGCTGCCATTGAACATGGTCTCCAAGGAGCCTGCCGATCATCTCCACCTTAGTAGCCCCTCTCATTCTCGATCACATGTGATAATCATCTTTCACCTCATACTTCAAAGCTTAAAGGTCCGAGAAATACGGAGTTTACAGTGATAAATGGTCAAAAATAGTCTGATGGATGAACGCGGATTGAACAAATTAAACTATCTTGAAAATCTTTCTTTTTTGATTGATTGTTTTATTGATTTTTATTTTTGTTTTTCTTTTTGAGTTTTTTGTATTTTGCATCCCGAAATATGTCTCAAAAGATTATTTTTTTCACATTACACTCTGAATGTCATAAATTGGTCTAATGTAACCCTCGAATTAACATTCATTTCAGAGTGAGATTACGTTGGAACAAATTTATTACATTTAGTATGCGAGAAAATTAATATTTTAAGGCACAAAGTGAAAATTAAGACATATTTCGGAGTAAAAAATGCTAAAAACCCTTTTCTTTTTTTCATAAGAAATTACTCTCATCAAACCCCTTGCATTTCCAAGACCAAAAAATAAAAATAAAAAAACCCTCGCATTTCGTGTTTTTTAGGCTGCTAACAGAGGCTTTATGTTGTAGTATAAAGTAAAATGACAAATATGTCAGAGTAACTCCAACCTTGACCTTTTTGTGGTCAAAAATCTTTCTACTAATATTCATACTCATATCAAATTAAGAGAAATTCAAATTTAATATCTTTTCCCCAACGATCATAATTCTCTTCTTCTCTAATCACTACTCTTGTCTCGGCAATGTTCTCCACTTCCCCAAAAAAATGTGTTTATCTATTAAAGAGACACGTAGCAAATTATATTTTTTACTCTTTTTCTTTAATTAACTTTAAGTAAAAGTATGGGTTACCATTGGAGATGGTCTTTACAACAAATGGATGCATAGTACGGCTTCCAACCACCATGAATTGGCATGGCTCTTCATTACTTTTGTGTGCCAAATAATAATCAGAAAGGTAAGTGTTGTTAGGGTATAAGCCAAAAACCAATTATGTTTAAGCTTTATATTCTGGTTGTTAGCCAATTTAATTAGTATTTTCTCATTGAGTAATGTTATGTAACCTAAATTTGTATTTCAAATAAAGAGGATCATTGGATCAGTAATTTCTATTTAAAAAAATTGATAAGACTAACTCATTTAATGGTCCCCCTTCATTTAAAATATAAATTTAGGTTACAAATTTGAAATAAATAGTATTTTCCTTTCCTCTATATAACTACTTTTTCGCTATGATTACTTGTTGAAATGAAACGGCTCAAAATTAAAAGATACGGCAATTCTTTAACTAACCTTGATAGGTCATAGAAGTAATGGAATAGGCAATGATCCAAGTCATAAGAGTGATGGGAAGAAGAAAAAGGCATGAGATACGGCTTTTTTTAGGGGGAAAACCAATGAATTAGAGAGACGTGAAAAGTAAGTTTAACAATTGAAGGTGATACTTTAATCACTATAATGACATCTCTTTCCAAAGTGTCTTAATGGGGGCAGTGTCATTGTCATGAATTTGGTCGTTTAAATGACTTTTATTGGGGGTTTTAAGATCAAAGTCGGTTGCTTTGATTAGGCAAGGTTCACGAATTGCTTGTTCCCTCCCTTAATTATATAAAGTTAAGCGGCACACCACCAAGAGTGGGATAGAGTAGTGCCAAACTTCTCACCTTAAAGTTAAAGATTTTTTATAATAAATTAATGGAGCACATAGATTGGTGAGCCAAAGACATTCTTTCATAAAGAGAGGTGCAGTGTTTGTAGTAGTTTTTGGGACAAAACAGTAGTATAATAGAATTATAATATTTTTTGACTGGATACTAATACCACCTTTTAAGTGGGTATTAAAATGGGTTTAATGGTACAAGTAAAGGGTATTAAAAATATATAGTTGGTATGCATAGTATTGGGTAACTTTTGACATCTAAATATTGTATAAGATGGGATTAAAGTCTTTTAATTTTATACAACTCTCTATTACTTTCTATAATACAGCAATCAAATGAGTTTTATCATTACTAGATGACTAATATTATTTTGACTTAAAATTTTAATTTAATTTGCTAATCTAAAGATATTATTTTATTGTAACTATTGAATTATCACACAGTTTCAACATTTAATAAAACCCGTAATCCATTTAAGAATTGTAATGAGTGAGTTGAATAAATTAAGTTATAATAACTATACTCTTATTAAATAAATTGAATTTGTGTTCTAGCAAATTCTGATATTACCCATCCAACACTATCCCACATGATTCATTGACAATTGAGAAACACCCACGTGATCCATTGACAATCTAGATAAAGGTGCTATGAGAGGGTGTACAAATGGAAACTTTCAATGTATGTGGAGGGAGAGAGAGAGACTATCAATGTATGAGAGATATACTGATAGAGATTATTTGTCTCAGATATATTTTGGCTAAATTATATTTTATTCTCTTGAATTATTAATTTTGTTTCATTTTATACTCTTAATTATAATTTTTTTTATATTATAACCTAAAATATCAATTTTATTTCATATCAATCTAATAGATAACGTCTGTAAAATTTTTTACGGTAAACGTGCATGTGAGTGATCTGTACTGTCAATACATTATTCCCTATTACACATGTACAGGTTAAAAATCAAAAAAAAATATTCATTCTCGTTAATCTTCCAATTTTCTTCTTTTGTCCAATTTTTTTTTTCTTTTCAGCAATCACTTGATTGTTAAAGAGGTAAAATAAAATGGTTTTAGGCACTTGGTGGGAAGTTCTTTGGGGTTTCTTTCTCTTGTTTGACAGATTGTCAAGTTTACAATTATCTATTAGAATAATATGAAATAAAATTAATATTTTTGGGCGTAATGTAAGAAATTTTATAATTAAAAGTATAAAATAAATAAAGATAATAGTTCAGGGAGGTAAAATGTAATTTACTCATATAATTCCCAAAGAAAAAGATGGGGGGAAGCCGACAAGAAAATAGGAATACGTCTCTTTTTTTGACATTTTTTCGCTTGGTTTTTCAACTTCATGGACTTGAGCAATCCAACCAGAGCACGTTATTTTTACGTTTTTAACCGTAGCATTGTACCACATATTCCATAAGAATGTGATTAAAACTCACGCTTTTAATGTAAAAAACAAGTTTGCAAAACACACATTTTTAGTAGAAAACGTTGGAGCATGTTTTCACCATGTGCTTCTAAAGTGGAAAGTGTGAGCTTTTATTTTTTGAACCGAAAGGGCGTGAATTCAAATCAATTTTTTTTTTTATAAAAAGTACGATAGATTGAAAAATAAGTTATAAATTAATATATAAAGGAATGAAGTTTTTTGAAACAATTTTCTCCAATTAGACTTATGAGAAATTTAAATTTGCAAGGTTTAATTTTATGGTATATTGTACAAATTTTGAAGACTTTTGCCAAAAATTGATTATTTAAGAATTGGTCATTAAGTTTTAGAATTCAATTTTTTTTAAAAAAAATTCAATATAAAAATAAACTCAATTTTCAGTTGAAGTTATCACAATTTTTTACTAAATTAATTTTTTGTAAGAATCTAAACTAACATACCAACCTAAATTCGAACTCTAGTTTTGAAAATTTCAACCAAATCCATCGAACATAGTAAAATTTGATAAACTCGGTTCTATTACTAGTTTTTGAGACGCCCATAACCCATCCCTATTTCTCTATGCAAAAGAAACTAATATGTATCCAAATATAGAACGATGTGTTATCATAACATAAAATTATAAGAGCAATGTTACATGAATTTAAAAAATAGATTTAAAAATTAAATTTTATAATCTTAACCATTAATTTTACTGTGAATCCTAATATTTATTAAAATTCACTATCTATACAATAATTGAGATTATTAAATTTAATTTTTAAATTCATCGACCACCGTTAAAGTTGGAATATTTTTTATGTCATCCATTCTCCTAAAACCTTCTGCAGACAGAATCCAAAGGACGGTTCAGAGTCAGAACACGAAGAACTGAAACTGTTATACATGTAGAGAGAGAAAGAGATTATTGCATAAACATAATTCCAATCAGCTCCCCCAGCTCTCTTTCTTCTTATCCAAGTACCCGTAAGTTCCCTCCCTTGTGTTATTACTCTTTTCTCTTTTTCTTATTATGGTTTAATACTATGCTTCTTATCTTAATAGAGAAAGCGTTATTTATCCGATGTAAAATAAGTATGAAGTCGTAGGCAGATCTAATTGTATTATTGTTATTGGAATGATTGATTAAGTTTTTGATTTTGATTGACCGCTGAAATTGAAAATTTGGACGACTGGGTTCGTGTCTGATCTGAGTTTTTGAGATTTGGGACGGCTTAATTTGCTGTTTGGTGGTTCTTTTTAATGCCCGGTTGATTAAAAGCTTTGTTTTATCTAGTATTCCCAAGTGTTCTATGTTCTGGGTTGTTTTCTTTACCGATGAATTTGATTGTTTTGGAGGTTTTTAGGGGTTGTTCAGCTGAAGTTTATTGAAAGACTGGTTTTTTATTGATGCCCATTTGAATCGGGATCGGTTTTTGTCATAGACAGATGAGTGAGCTTTTTAGATAAGACTCGTAGAGTTAGGGTTTTCTCAAAATTCTCTATATTTGGGTTGCTGAGGTTTCCTTTGTTTATTGAAAATACATAGGCGTTTCTGGGTTTTCTTCTTTTACTGAAAAATTGATGACCAAGAGAAGGATCTAGATATTCTTCCTTTTTTGTTAACTGAATATGCATGGGTTTTTTCTGTATTTGGATAGGCTGTTTCTGTATTTTGACGAAGTTCTTGGGGGTTTTTAGGCCTCAGTCACCGATTTTTTTGCAGTGGATTTTGGTTCAGTGAGGAAGAAAGAAGGATTTGGACGAGTTTAAGGTCATAAAAGTGGTGCTTTTTGGGGGGTTGAATTCTGAAGAAATGTTGGAAGACCAGTCTAGCTTGGTTTCAACGGGCTACCCGAGGACCAAGAACTTTTGGGCGTGAAAGCAATGGGCTTGCGTGAATTACTGGCAAGAAACATTGAGGATCAGAGTTCAATAGGCCATTAGAAACTGATGTAAGGGGGGGGGGTGTAGAAGTTGGTTTTAATCTAAGCAATTAGATCCTCGTGAAAGAGTAGAATTGGCTTTAACATTTCGTGAAATTTACATGGCTAACCAGCGTCATGCTGGTGATAATTCGGATTCAAGTTCCCTTATCCATGCCATTGGTCGGGACATCTCAATTTGCTGCCTCCTTCGATGCTCAAGATCTGATTATGGTGTTATTGCATCTTTGAATCAGAGTTTCCGATCACTCATTCGGAGTGGTGAGCTCTATAGACTAAGACGACAATGTAGGGTAGTTGAGCATTGGGTTTACTTTTCTTGCCACCTGCTTGAATGGGAGGCTTTTGATCCCTATGGTGACCGTTGGATGCATTTACCAACAATGCCATCCAATGAATTGTTTTTATTTTCAGATAAGGAGTCTTTGGCAGTTGGCACCGAGCTTCTTGTATTTGGTAAAGAAATGATGTCTCAAGTCATCTACAGTTACAGTTTACTGACAAACACGTGGTCATCTGGGATGAGTATGAATGCACCAAGATGTTTGTTTGGGTCTGCCAGTCTTGGGGAGATTGCAATTTTAGCTGGTGGTTGTGATTTGCAGGGCAACATCCTCAGCTCAGCAGAGCTCTATAATTCGGAGAGTGGAACTTGGGAGACACTCCCAAGAATGATTAAACCACGGAAGATGTGTTCTGCGGTGTTCATGGATAAAAAATTTTATGTCATTGGAGGGATTGGAGGAAGAGAGTCAAAGATTCTCACATGTGGGGAGGAATATAATTTGGATACAAGAACCTGGAGTGAAATCCCTAACATGTCCCCTGTGGGTGCAGCCAGAGAAGTTGGGATGCCTGCTACATCAGGGGCACCCCCTCTGGTCGCAGTTGTAAATAATGAGTTATATGCAGCTGGTTATGCTGACATGGAGGTGAGGAAGTATGACAAGGGTAACAGGAGATGGAAAACTGTTGGGAGGTTGCCTGAACGTGCTGATTCTATGAATGGTTGGGGTTTGGCATTTAGGGCATGTGGAGACCGGCTTATTGTTATTGGAGGACCTAGAACTATGGGTGAAGGGTTTATCGAAGTTAATTCATGGATCCCGAGTTCAGGTCCACCACAGTGGAACTTGCTTGGCTGGAAGAAATCTGGTAGCTTTGTCTATAATTGTGCTGTAATGGGATGCTGAAGACTTGTATTTTGGTGCCCTATGTGCACTGTAATGGTGCCCTGTGCTGAACTGGATCTATGACATTTCTTTCTCCGGAGACACATGATTTGCTAATTGGGTAAATTGTCCCAACTTTTTCCTCTTCTTATTTTCTTTTTTGAGTTGTTTTTGGTGGTTTGGGGGGGGCGGGGGGTTACTCAAGATTCAACAGAATGTTATCTTGAAGGTCTTAAGTACACTTTTTCAAACCTTTTGTGTGTGTTTTCTTCCATTGAATTTGTCTTCCCCCATTTTCAGTGACATGAGAAATTCTGAAATGTGAGTGTCATCAAGAGCAGGTTTTAATAACAAGGAGCAATACAATGATAGGTTGTCATTAAGTGTTGGCTGAAGCTTTTTCAAGAATCATAGGATTAGTTTCTGGGTTTTATGATTCGTAATTTTCTTGGAATTGTCCTGGAGAGAGAAAATAAGGCCGGCCAGTTTGTTCTTGGGACATGGCTTATGTACTGAATACATTTCTTGCTGCAAATGATGGGCTAAATGTTGGTCACTGCATTTCTCTTTTCTTTTCGTTGTTTTTAATGTCAAACCTTTGCTTCGATTCTAGTTGCACTTGCTACTTGTATGTGATGTTCTGACTGTTACTATGAAACAGGTTGCCATATTTCAAAAGCTCGGCTTGTTATTAGAGGTTCTTCTCTGAGTCGTGTTTTATATATGATTTTCATGTTTTCACATTTATGAGGGAGTATGTTTAATCATTAATACTGATACAATATACAACCTGGTAATCATGATGGCATATGTTATAATTGAGTTGATATATTATAAATAGATGATCCCTTATTTGTTGACTTCATTAGATGTACTTCTGGAATGTTATATGAATGGCACATATATAGAGAAAATTTTCAGTTGTGATCTAGCTTCCTTTTTTCTTTTCTTTTTTGTCTTTTTCATGGGTGTGTGTGTGTTATGGTGGTGTGAAAAAGGGGTTTGCAAAACTAATGACAAACCAAGACTTTAGTTGTAAAATTAGTGAAAAAACGTAGAGGGGAAAATATACCTGTGGTTTGGACATATTATGGCCCAAGTAACTGGAAAGAGGGTAGTTGTAGCAAGAGAAACAGGCTTTGAAGGCCTGAGGGTGCCACGAGCCTCAACTTTGGGTTAATAGACAAAGTGAAGGGAAGGCTTTTGGCAAACCTAACATGAAAGGAACTATTGCTGGATCAACTGGTTGACAAAATCAGCTAGATATGGAATGGAAGATGGGAATGATGCAGTGGCAACGAGTGATGTTTCATCTACGTGGTTTGCATTGTTTCTCATGTTTGGAGCAGAATGGTAAATCGGAAACTTAGAAACCTTTTCTTACTTCATGTGATAGGCTCATCATCATAAGGAAGTTCTGTGGCTTCTGTATATGTGTTCTTAATGCTCTACAAGATTCTCTTTAGTTTTGAGGTCGATATGTTTGAATTCTATACACACATGTATACGTGCAAGTAGAAGGGTATACTTAAATATTGTTTGTTCTGGAGTATCAGAGATAGTAGCCACAGACAAATACAAACATTATTTTCTTGAATTGTAAAAATTCTAGAGGAATTACAGTTAATTCTTTTCAAACCTCACCCTCAATCATCTTACCTTTCCCTTTTATTATGGAAGTCTGTGTCTGGTTGTGCATAGAAGTAAGACTAACAATGAGTCGAATAGAAGGGTCCATGAGTAAACATGGATCACTCGTGGTTTATTGACTCATCTGAATTGTCTAATTTGACAAATTTCTTGCCATTCTATGATGTGTCTAGGTGATGGCTGAATTATTGATTTGAGTTGATATCTCTTTCTTTTGAGGAATATTTTATATCTTTAATAGATTATATTCCATTATTTAAATACGCTGCGGATTTTCACTGCTTATGATTTTCTATGGGATGAAGATTTGTGTTTTGTTTCACTAAAATTAGCCATATGGTCAATTATGNGGTGATGGCTGAATTATTGATTTGAGTTGATATCTCTTTCTTTTGAGGAATATTTTAGATCTTTAATAGATTATATTCCATTATTTAAATACGCTGCGGATTTTCACTGCTTATGATTTTCTATGGGATGAAGAATTGTGTTTTGTTTCACTAAAATTAGCCATATGGTCAATTATATCTATTGTTGGGAATGCTCATATTCTACAGCATATTATAATGCTGCCTGAAGTCTATTGACATTGTTTGTAAAGGCATATGAAACTTCTAGCCTTTTTAGTTAGACTGAAGAAGCTTCAAGGAATAGTATGCTTGCCTTCTGAAGTGTGACTCGAACACCTATGGCTTTTTGAATTTTTGTTCCCTCCTTTTCTTTGTAAAGGTATCCTTGCACAGATGAACAAAATTCAGGACACTTGTTTTCTTGTGACTGACTTTTATTTTTTTTGATATGGTATGAATTTTGTGTAGTATTGGTCATTCTTTTGAATATGTGTGAAAGGAAGTTTGCTGAAAGTTCTTTCTTAAGAAGTAATAGTTTTTATCTTCGTTTGTTCGTGGTAAGAATTGGGAGGAAGGGAAATACTGAAATCCTTCTTTTCTTCAGTTAAAAGGGGAAAAAGACATTGTAAGTCGACATTTTCCTTCACTTGCTTTGTTTTGTTTCCTCCTAAGTATATCATTTTGTTTCCCCAAGTAGCAAATGGTCTCTAAGGTATTACTCTATTGCTTAACTTGTAATAGTGAAGCTTGAGAAAGTGCAATGACTGAAATCCTGTATAAGTAGAAAAGATTCAGAAGTCGAAACCTAAAAAACAATAAAAAAAAGTACAAAAAAACAAACAGAAGGAAAGTAGAAGATTCAGAAAGCCCTATGCTATGGAAAAGATCAATCAGACGATGGTGAAAATCTGTTAGCAACTGCCTTGTCCTCTATGGAGTTGCTGACTGTGGGGCTTTAAGATCTTTGGGGAATATTTGGATGAAGTTCCATTCTGGGATGGTTGGAGACCAGTCAGCTAAGAAGTTTCACACTAATGAGGCTTGTCACTCTGGTTGTTTTGTTTGTTTGTTTGTTTGTGTGTGTGTGTGTGTGAGAGAGAGAGAGAGAGAGAGAGAGAGAGAGCATGCGAGCGTGAATGTGTGTAGGATAACTCTCTTTTCTCTTGTATATACAGATTTGTTTGGAATGTTAGGAAAACCAATGTAGTTTTTTTCTCGTGAATGTGTGTAGGATAACCAATGTAGTTTTTTTTTTTATCAGAAGAAGATCAATGTAGTTGAAAACATGAAGTTCACTTCAGATTAAGGCTTGTTGCATTGAATTGATTAAAACATTGCATTTTCATATCATACTTTATTTAGAAACATCGTACATTTTATTTAGAAAATCTAATTGTGAATATTTCAAACAAATAAATCAATTTTTGCTTGATAAGATGGATATTGATGATGCTTAGAAATAATAGCCCAAGCCCCTCAAATGAAATTGAGGGGATATTAGTGGCTTAGTTGAGTTGGAGGTCAATCTATGGAGAACAAAGAACACAATGTGTAAGTGGTTCGCCTCAGCCATGAGAATAAGGTTACGTCCACTGTAAGGGAAACTCATACTCCTTGGAGATGTATATGATTCGAAGAGGTTACAACGGTATACATTGGCTCAAGGCCTTTACAAGAATAGCGTTGCTTCTAGCTTGACTCACTGTGTTTTTGGACTACCAGAGCACAATGAAGGTCTCTCTTTTGCTCGATAATAGTGTCCTATTTATATAGTGACTCTTCCAAGGTTTTCTATTACTCCTTCTTTCTTTTTATTGATTTTGTGAGTCCTCTTGCCTCTGTCTTATAGCAACTACTGTTCATCCAACACTGCTGTGCATTTGATACTACTGTTCTCACAATACCTGGATGGTTATGCACACCAACTCCCTCCGCTCTAGAGAGTACGTGATTGTCGTCGTTGTCAGAAGTGGTTCCTTTGTTCTCAGGTGACGGGAGTGTTCTGAGATAGGCATTGGGTTAAACTACTGAGCTGTCCTTCGGGTGGGCTGAATTAGGACTAGGTTGGGCCTCAGGTCTTTTGGAATTGTTGGACTTTACCCTTTGGATCCCGGACCGGCAGTTGGTGTTCCTGTTTGGGCCGTTATGTTGGTCAAGAGTTTCCTGCACTTTATTGGGTTCTTGGACCATGGCGGCCCAAACCCAGGATCCTATCGTTATCAAATATAGTGCACTATAGGTTGGTTAGTACTTATTCGTACGAGCAATGGATTGAGGTTGAAGGCTAGGATCTTACATGCAAAAGAAAGCTAAGACATCTCAACTTTTTGTATGTTGTGTGTGAATTAAGAACATTGCTGACTTATGATTTATTGTTGATAAATATTTTAAAGACATTATCTTTGATCTTAAATTACTAAATTAAATATCATA